AGAAAAGGCCCCCACGGGGGGAACCTGACTGCTGGACCACAGCCCTGGCTCGGACAGCACAGTACAATGTGGACACCCAGGATGGGCCTCAGTGGACTCGGCCGAGGGGCCAGAGCACAAATGCAAACACCCTAGGGTTTGAACGAATTTGGAAATCACTTCTGGGCCCTCTATAGCTTCTCCTAAGGATCCCCCCCACGGGACTGCACCCCTCCCTGTGCCCCTGGGTGATATCCCCGGAGGTGCCCGAGAGGTGGAGTGAGAGCTTGGAGCAGAGGGCGCAGAGGAGGAGAGGTGTGCAGGGGCCTCCTCGCTGCACAACGCAGAGAGGGCGCTGGAGGCTGGAGAGCAGGGTGCGGCGGATGCCTCGTCCGTCCGTCGGTCCGTCCACTCGCATGTTCCTTTGATGTCAAGCACAGAGACTGCCCTGGAGCATGTGGGGCTAGAGCAGGCTGATGCCCAGTGCACAGCTCAAGGGGGCACCTGCTCCGAAACAATGGAGGGTCCTGCACCCCAGAGGTGTCCCGCGTACAACCTCTCACTCCACAACTGCCCTGAGAACCAGGCAGTCCCCGCCCTTGTGCACAGGCAGTGACCAGGGGCACAGCCACCCTGTGGCACTCAGCAGGCTGAGACCCGGGGTGCAAGTGAGTGGCCATCGCCCAGCTGAAGTGTGACTCGGGACAGGTGGGACTACTTCCAGGAGAGAAATCAAACGGCCCAGGTGCTAGGCAGCAAGGAGATTTGGGGCAGCAAACAGGAAAAGCTGGAACCCTGAGTGGAGTTGTTTGAGGGGAAGGATGTCCTAAAGGAACTCTGCAGAGTTTTGTGGACTCCACCTGCTACTCCAGCTTTCTTGACTCCACCCCCTACTCCGGTGATTGGAAACTACAAGTCCCAGAAGTACCAAGGAGAGAACTGCGAGGACCCAAGGGCGGAGCTAAGAGGCATTCTGGGACTTCTGGGGCTATATAGGGCGCCATTTTAGACTCTGGACCGTATGACTCTGGGTCGCGCGGCTGGTGGCTGGTCATCTGGCTCGATGAGCTATCAGACTTGGGGTTCCAAGGCAGCGGAGCTGGTAGGATGCTCTAGTTAACTTTTGTCTCTCTTTCCCTGGGTTGTTCCTTTTCCTTTCGCCTTTGTAAATAACCCTATTATTGACCCTGTTGTGTGTGTCTGCAGTATAACTGATTGTAAGTGCGTGGGTGAGGCCCCACAGACAGGCACCCAGCTCACAGTGGGGTGCCCTGGAACAGAGTGAGGGCAGAAGTAACACTGGGCCAGTTGGCACAGGAGCCCAGGAGGTCACAGTGAGGAGCCTGAAAAGACGCTCACCGGTGCTCCTTGGACTCAGCTGCAGTGTGGGGATCAGGTTGAAAGAGGCGTAGGGCTAAGTAAGGGAACCTGTAGGGGGTTTCCCAGGAGTGCAGGCAAGAGCTGATGGTGGCCTAGTCTGGAGTGGGGCAGAGAGGATGGCAGGAGAGGTGAGATTCAGGAAGGAGTGAAGAGGTACTCTCGGTGGGTCTGGGGTTCCAGCAGATGGGGGGCCTCTGGACCGGCTGGCAGAGCAGGCCCCCAGATGGCGGACTGGGTGACTGAGATTCCAGTCCGAGGTCTGCAGGATTTGTGCGACTGTTTGAGATCACAGCATCAGAATACCAAACTCCAGATCTGCAAGAAGCCTAGAGGTGGTCCCTGGCCCTTGCCTGCCCGTCCCCCTGCTCCAGGGCCCTGAGTTATTATTTCCTCCTTTTACCCATTTTTCTGCAGGCTCTGTCAGGTACTGGGGAGATGCTAGTGAATGAGGAGGAGCCAGAGGACATGATGATGCAGAGAATGCCTAGGTTCGGTGGCGACAGGGACACCGACACAGCCTGCGAGGGCAGAGAGGGAAGGAGCGCGAGAAGCGAGTCCTAACGCACGAGAAGGAGTCATGGAGGCCAGGTGGGGGGGGTGCCAAAGAGAGCAGGAACGTTAGTGGTTGAGGCAAAGGGAACAAACACCATGTACACAGCTCCAGAGAGAGAGAGGAGGCCAGTGAGGCCCAGAGAAGCTAAGCAACTTGCCCAAAGTCACACAGCTCATTTGCAGAAGAGGAAGGAGCAAATATGTCACGTGTTTTAAGTTTCTAATCCTTGATCCTTTCTGTCCTTTCCTACCACCCCCCAGCCTGCGCTTGGCCTCAAGAAATACACAATTCAGGGCCTCCCTGGTGGCACAAAGATTTGAAGCTAGCCGAGGCCGCTTCGGCTGCTTCAGTGTGAGTGCCATACCCACCCCGGAGGTGACCACATGGCGTGGCAGGCCTCTCCTGACCTGCCCGCTGCTCCCCTCAGCAGTGGACTTCGTCGATCTGCCTGTTTTGCTCCCCACTCTGTCTCTGGGGAAGCCTCTCATCTCCCGCACCTGTGGTCTGCACCCCAGTTCCTGTATGCATGAATAAAAAAAAATTTTTTTTAAAGAAATACACAAGCCAGGGGAGGTGAGCAATTCCTCCCTCCGCACCAGGCCCCGTCACACGCCCACCCGTCCTCACCTCTCCTGCTCTACTCCCGCTGGCCTAACGTGCAAACCCTTTCTTTGAATTATGCCCATTGTCAAAAATAGGTCCCTACTGCCAAACAAAAAGCTGCATAATTCTCCATTATCTGCCCAGGCAGTCAGAATTAGGCTAATTCCCTGGCCCAAACCAAAGCACATGTTACCTTTGGTGTTATTAACTGGATAATCCTTAAATTGAACTTTAATCTCTTTGGGGAGGACAGGTAAAGACCTTGTTGTTTTGTTTTTTTTTTTAGTATCCCACTCCTTTTTGCTTTGCATATTAAAGTGATTAAAAAGAATTACTCATGAGCTCTTGCTATGTCTGAGACACACTGTGGTCTTCCGGAAGGCTTCCTGCGTGGGTCTTCACCGTAAATGAACTCCCCACCTCACAAGCAGGATTCTTGCTTTCTAACAGCTCTAACTGTAAACTGAACTAAGAGCTCCTATGACCTTCACACATTCATGCTACCATTTCTGCCTGGAATGACTGAAAATACATCGAGCCCTCTTTTCACCAGCAAATCTTCCGTAGTGAAGTTCTTTGCACATTTGCAGTTTCTCCCTATGACTCCAGCCAAACCTATATTCTTTCTCAGGAGAGCATCAGACCCTCAGGACTCTCCTTCCTCCTATAAGGTGAAATCCCAAAAACAAGCCAGGCAGCAGATTGCTGCTCACCAGCATGGGATTTGATTGTGCTCCCTGACCAGGGCCCTCGCTGACCCTCTGTGAAGGCCACTCGGTAACAGCTGCTTCACTGGCTGCAGGCTCGCCTTACAGCCAAAGAACCCGAAGACCTTTCTCTCAAGCTGCCCGCCTGACACTAGTGCTCTGGAAGTATAGAAGTCAGGCACAGAACTTTCCATTTTTCTCTTTCACTGGAACTTTTTCATTAAACCATGTGAGGATGTTGGATTTATTTCCAAGACTTAGATTCTCCCATCAAGGTATTAGCTGTCCCCTTTCAATTTTGCATCTTGAGAAAGTAGTCCCTTCTCAGGATGATTGAAGTGGACAACTCCGAGGGCAGCAACCACTCAACCCCAAAGGAAGAAAATCAGTCTTGCAGGGAGGCGAACCCCTGGATAATGTTGTTGCCTCACCCATTTCCTATCTTGTCCACAGAAATGTCACGGGAGATTTTGTCTAACATGCTGCCTATCATGTCCCTGGCCCATGATAATAAGAGCCTGGTTCTGATGTCAAAAGAAAGAAAGACAGTTTGTCTTGACTCATCTTAGTGACCTTCCTACCAGCTTCTCTTCTCAATACTCATCTTGTCATTGGATAAAAGAGTGGGTCTTGGCCCTCCCTGGTGGTGCAGCGGGTTAAAGCATAGCACTGAGAATCTAAAAGCCGCTTCCGCATGAGTTCGATTCCCGCCTGCCCGGGAGGTGACCACATGGTGTGGCAGACCTCTCCTGACCCGCCCGCTGCTCCCCTCAGCAGTGTACTTCGTCGATCTGCCTGTTCTGCTCCCCACTCTGTCTCTGGTGAAGCCTCTCGCCACCCCTGAGCCTCTGGCCTGTACCCCAGTTCTGTATGCACAAATAAATCTTTAAAAAATATATATATATAAAGAGTGGGTCTTTCGGTCCTAGGCATTTAGAGCAAGAGGGGTGGTGGACATGATTCAAAGGCCAATTCCCAATTTGGCTGATGAGGAGACCAAAGCACACAGGTCTTTCCTGGCATCCCTCAGTCACAGAGTCACTGCAGCCCGAGCAAAGACTGGCTTCCGTGTCTGTGGCCCCAAGTCAGTGCTTTTTCTTAACGATATCAAGTCACGATGTCGTCCCTGAAGTGCGTGCAACCCATAACACCCTCCACTGTTGAAAGCAAACCATGGTCTCTTCACTGTTGAAAGCAAACCCTGGCCTCATTTTCTTGAGGGGGGTTCACATGAGCCCCGTGAATAGAAGATGGAGACCTAGAACCTCCCAATGGGATTTGTTCTCCAATAGTGGGTCCTTGAGCTCCCCCAGTCTGGGTTAGCGTTGGGCAGCCTCAGTCTGCCTGGAAGATATTACTGTCTTTGTGACTCCCTAGAGCCTGTGCGTGCCTCGGCCTGGGGCTTGTCCCCTGGGTGGACATCAGTGAAGGGCTAGCCCATTTAAGCACCGAGTGGAGAGGGATGAAGGTTCTCCCCTAGAGGACAATGGGCCCATTGCCGGATGTTGGAGGGGCAGTTTAGCCTTTCTACACATCGCGAAGGGAGCAGAGTGGCCAGGCATGGGCTGAGGGCCAGTGTGAGGCCCCTGCCATGTAAAGGCCGATTGTGAGGTGCTGGGGCTACCGGAAAGACAGATTACTTAATCTGGGAGACTAGTGGCCATAGGCGGGTGCCTGCAGCAGAGGGAAGCCCCACTGCAAAATCCCTGCTACTCTGAGCAGCCCACGAAACAGGGCCCCCTCACCACCCTTCCCACCCCCCGGGAGGCCCTGGGTACCTGTTTATTCTTTAGGTCAAGGGAGAGCTCGTAATCGGAGGCGGCAGGAGTGTGGGAGCAGAGCGCCGTCGCCAGGGCTGGCTGCTGCTGGCCCGGGGAGGCCGCGCGGTGGGGGCCAGCCCTCGCGGAGGCAGCCCCGGCCCCCGGCCGCTGCTCCTCCTCCTGCAGCTCCTGGGCTTGAGCCTTCGGGGCATGGGCACTGGGTCTGCCGGCTGCCACCGCCGCCGCCGCCACGGGGTCCTCCATGCCCCCTCCGGCCCGGGTACAGGAGCCGTCACTGTGAACAGAAGGCAACGGTGCTCGGTTGGGGGAGCGGAGGATGGGGTGCATGTGTGTGGGGGTGGCGCAGGACCGGGGGCACCCTGGCCTGGCCTTTTTGGGGGCTTGTGAGGCTCTCTCTTGCATCTTGGTAGAGAGGAGGCAAGGAAGAGAATCCGAACTCGGGGAGTGAGTCCTAGGCAGAAGGAAGCAGCAGCGGAGGCCAGAGCTCACGAAACTTCTTAGGAGCAGCATACACTGGTTAAGAGGAGACGGCTTGGGTTCAAATCTGGACTCTGCCTCTTACCAGCTACAGGACACTGTAAGCGGGTTGCTTAGCCTAATATACCTGTTTGTCCAGGTAAAATGCGCGTAATAATAGCACACACTGTGTAAGGACCTTAGAAGGCTGAGGTCAGTTCAATTTCTTAAAACGGGTCATGGTCACTGCTGTGTGTTCACTGTTGTCATTCATGCTCTGGCTCCCAGCTATTGCCTTAGGGATCTGGGGGGAAACTGATCTGCATGAACCAGCCCCGTCTTTAGACTGCCCAAATGAATCTATGAATCTGGGGGAAGAAGTGATGCCATTGTTCTGGACTGAGCACAGAGCCTCTCCACTGCAGGTCGACTCTGGCTTTTGGATGCTGGTCTGAGAAGCTCTACTGGGTTTAAGGAAGCATCTATTCCTCCTGGTGTTCCTCTCCTGCTTACTCCTCTGCCTGCTTACTCTAAGAAGACACCTGGCTGGAGCAGCCCCATCCCAGCCTGCTGTGGGGATCAGTGCACTGAGGTGCTCCCCTCCCTCACCAGCTCCCAGGCTCTGGGCCCAGTCTTAAACTACCTCCTCCTGGAAGCCTTCCTGGGTTACCCCTGCTTTCATTGTTCTATCTCCTAGAATACTAGGAGTTGTGGTTAGAGAATTACTCTGTGTCACAGAGAAGTGCGAAGGCTCACAGCATGGGCTAGAATCCAAGCTCTATTGGCATGTAACTTAGATCAAGTAGCTGTCTGGGAGCCTTAGTTTCCTTATCTATATAGTAAAGGTACTAGTACCGACCTTATGGGGTTAAGATGACAGATAAAGGAAGTCATGTATATAAGGTGCTTGGCACAGGGCCTGGCTCAAAGTACAAGCTTACTGGGTACTAACTCGTATTTCCCTAACTGTCACCTCCTAGCGGCCAGGGCCTAGCTTCTATTTACCCCTTAACTCCACTCAGTGCAAAAGCTGACACCTGTTGATGGTTCATGGGTGGGCTCAAGAAAACCCAAAGACCACAGGGATGGCCTACAATGGACAGGGAAAGAAGGCCAAGACTAGAAGGATGAGGAGGTCATGGATGACCTTCAGCTCTGGACAGTCTTGTGGGTGGATTCACCCTGTGACTGGCCTCGCTTCCCACAGGCCCTCCATGGAACTCCTAGAGGGGCACCCAGGTGACGTTAGCTCCCTTGAGTCCCACGTCCAGCTAAAAACTAGATCCCTTGAATGGCCACTCACTAGCCTTGAGAAACTGGGTCATGGCTGACTTACAGGAGGTGTCGGTCCCAGTCTTGCCTGAACTGGGGCATCTGTTTAAGAAAGTAAAAGGTAGAATGGGTAGAGCGTTGTGCCCATGTGACATTAGGCTGATGCGTCCTCAGGGGCACAGGCCATCCACGGGGGTTACTCCATACAGGAGACTGCAAGATCTGAATATGGGGAATGAAAATCTTAAAGAAAATGGGGAGCGAGCAGAGGCTCAGAGGACTATTACAGGTGCCAGGACCAGGATGACCTGTGTCCCATTGGGGAAGGCGCGCTCATGGGGGGCTGGCTTCTGCTTCGAGGGGTTCAGGGGGCCTGCTGAGCGGCCCGGCCCAGGCACATCTACGAGTGCCCTGGGGTTCCAGCCTGTCAATCATCTCTGCTATCAGAGCTGATTCCTAAACGCAGATGCTGGATGCCAATCATCTGCTCAAAACTTTCCAGGGACTTGCTGAAGCTGCTAGGGCAAAGGCCCCAGAGCAGCGCTCCAGAGCAGTCATGACCATCCCCAAACCTCCATTTCTGCCCTCACGGGAACCACTCTGTGCAACATGAAGCTCTCTCCAGGCCTGCCTGCACTCTCGACCACCAAGCCTCTCACAGGCTTCCCTTCGTCCTGATGTGCCTTCTCCTCCCACCTCTCACTAACTATTCAACCCATTCCCTTCTCTGCCTTCTTACCTTCCCCAAGACGCTCCCATCGCCCCAGGAAGAGTCGTTCTCCCCTCAATGTGCTCTAATTACCTTGATACTTGCGTCTATTTCAGCAATGACCACTTTGTGCTCTAATTACCCACGTTCTCTCTCCTACCGCACTGTGCCACGGACACCTTTTAATCATAGGTGTTTATCACAGTGGGCTGGCTAAGGCCTGCTTGACAAATGCCAGATGGCTGGGTAGATGGATGGGCGGTGCGTGGCTATCGTTTCTTCTCTGTTATGTTCCCAAAGGCAGAGAGATGGGTGGACTTGTGAAGAGCACTCCAGCCTCCACTAGGGAATGATGTCCTTTCCAGCTCTGGGGGAGTCGCTGGAGACTGACCTTGGCTGCCCATACCCATGCTCCTCCGCAGCTCCTGACCCCGCCTGGGCTAACCTGGCAGGGAGCGGAGGGAGGACACTCACCTCCCCAAGTTAGCTCCTGGCGGGGGCTGCCTGAGCACAGGTGCTGGGGTCCTGCCAGGCACCTCTCAGCACATTCACCACTCCCACAGAAAGGCTGCCTTTCCAAGGTGGCCAACATATCAGGGAGGCTATTTCCTCCCCTTCACTCTCTTGAAAAGGCGAAACTCACACCCCCATTTTGCAGATGAGAAAACCGAGAGCATGAGCTCAGCTCAGAAAAGGGAAGATTCAGGGGAGGGGCCCCCTAGATCCCTTCTCTGTTCCCTGCAGAGGCGAGCGCAGTGGTGACAGGAGAGTGGTCAGGGGTGTTTCAGAGGCTGCAGGACCCCTCCGATTAGAAGGTTCCCAGGGCCTGACCAATGGCTGTAGACATCTGAGATGCTGCCAGCCTTTCTTAAAGCTCTCTGGGAACAAAGAAAGTGGGCATTTTCTAGATAAAAGCTAACAACATGCCTCACATGTCAAGATTTTTCAGCCTTTACTAAAGCTCTTCTTTCCCTCCCTCATCTGAATCAAGGAAGTGATCTTAGATGGTCTGAGCCAGGAAGCCAAGTGCCCCGTGGGGTCCTCGGTGGTCCCGGGAAGGCTCGTGGTGAAGACAGCATCAGTGGCAGAAAACAATTCACTCTGTGTTGATTCAAAGAACGGGCTAGAAAATGCTGCCAGAGGCGGCTAGAGCGGTCATTAAGGCCTTGGGCTCGTGGCTCCGCTCTGGATGTCTATTCCCTCATCGTGAGATGGACAGTTTGAACAAGGTGCTTTGGCCACAAGGAGGGACAGGCACAGCTCCTGCCAGCTCCACTTCTCTGTGGGGGCCCTGGGCCCCTATCCAAGTGCACACCCCCCAGCCTGGGCCTCAGCTCCTCTGCCCTCAACACCCAAGGACACGGCATACGCCTTCCTGGGCCTCCCTCACATCATTTAATCCATGCCCGCACCACCCCCCATCTGTGGCTCTTTGACCTCCATTATCCAAGCTGGAAGCCAGGTCCCAGAATAGAAACCCCTGGGGGAGGACAGCTGTGGCTTTCTGGGCTCATCTACTTGCAGAGCCCGGCCTGACTTCATTGGCTGTGACAGATGCTTCTCTCTCCCATCTCCCTAGGGCCCTGAGAGAGTACGTTATTTCTCTTTCCCGTCAGCTCCTCGGAGACCCCAGCTTTGGTCTCACAGCTGTTCTAAAAGGTGCTGGCTGCTTTGGTTCGTCTGCTGGGGTTTCACGTCAAAGGCATCACAGCCCTTCTCTGGCCTGGCACACCAGGGCATGCTCTCAGGGTCTCCCCGGAGCAGCCCTGGCAGACTATCCCCAGAAGTCCCAGGGGGAACCTCCCCTGCTAACGCACCTGGGCAGTCAGCACCTTGTGCTCCAGGGAGGCTTCATCTAGAAGCTTCCTCAGGATACCTCCCTCAGCCGCCCAAGCTGAGCCACACTTACGAACAGCATCTGATTGTCACTGGAATCCCAGTATCTTTTAGCATGTTATTCTTTCACAAATAGGCACGAGTCTGGTAGCAAAATCAAACTCTGAGGACATCCTGTCTGCTCCGGTCTCCTCTCCAGCACACAGCACACAGCTTCACAAATGATGCTTCTCCCACCCACCCTGCCTCTGGCACCTTTTCTGTCTGCTTATGTTACTAGCCCGAAGACAAGACACTCCCATTCCTAGCGTTCTCATCTCACCCAGCCTTTACGTGAAGTTCCAAGAAAACTGCCTCTAAAACCATCTGTGAACACACAGCCCAAAGTCTTTCCATCGTTGCTACAGGCAGTGCTTAATATTTACTGCCTAGAGAACTCGGGGTTTTATTTCATTTTCTCCTTTTATTATGAACTATTTTATATAGGCAAATATGAATAAAATATATGTAAGGTAGAAAGAAAAATACTCTCTTGCACCTTGCTCAAGAAATAGCATGTGGGAGGCCTTCAATACCTTCCTTCCCTCTCCGAGGAATCCCTGTCCTGAATCTGTGTTTATCATTCTCTAGCTCTGCCTGAGGGGAAAATTGCCTCTCTTTATGTAAGCAGCGCTGGCTGCTTGGCACCATCGCCTTTAAGTTTGCATAGTAGGGAGGCCCAGGGACACTTAGGTCTTTGCAGACCCCAAAGGAGTCAGGAAGTCCCTCCAGGGGACTTACTCCCTGCCACTCCCAGCTGGCAAGACTGGCAAGATGGCAGAGGCCAGACTCTTGGTTGGTTGGTTTGCGCCCATTACTCCTTAGGGGATACTGTTCCTGCGCCCCTTGTGCATGGGTGTGTTACAGTCTGCAGTGGACTGTGGTGACTGTCAGAAGCCAAAGAGCACCTGGAATGCCAGGTGAGGCTAGGTGAGGTACACTCAAGAGAAGCTGGGAGCCAG